TCCTGGGGATGCATGTCTGTGTTAAGAGGAAATAGTATGTGCAAGCTAGTCTCACACTCCCTAAGAAGTCACCAAAATCTCTTTGCACTCCCTGGGGTTTCCTGCTCTAGAAGCTTTATTTCACACAGCAGAAACAACCCCTACCCCTTCCAAGCAAACGCACTGGTAGTATGTATGTGTTGAAATACTTACAGTAGAACACTAATTTTAAATCTATGCAGGCTGCTGGCGTCTCTGAGTAAGACAGACCAGTTCAGCCAGTGCTACTTGTTTCGTCTTAGCAATATGAGAGCCTCAGTCAAAACTAAGCTTAAAAAAAAAATCTTACTAGGAGTTTCCCTCATTGCAGCAACAACTCCAGGAAATGTAACTGCATAATAACAATTTTAAAGGCATCTCAGAATGAATGCACCATCCACCTGCTAAGTATTTTCTGACCACTTGGCTATTACAAAGAATAGTAGGACAATTTGATTTAATGAAAGCCTTTTTAACAGCTCTCTTATTCATCACAGATGTGAGTTTATGCTGCTGTGAAACTTCAGTATGTACCACAGAAGTCACATCAATTCTGAAGCATGAAATCACCTGAATTGCAGGGAAAACATTCTTACAACAGAAGCAATATGGTACAATGTGATACGTGTACATTTAATATTTCTAGGCTCCTCTAAATTACAATGGTGTCAGGGAACACAAGCCTAGAGAAATCCAGTGAAATATTCTTTATGCTGCTGTAGCAGCATAAAATGAAATTATGATATTAAATACTTAGAATCCATGTATTTTTCCTTTACTACTTATTTCAGATCCACTGTGTCATGTAAGAGCACTGAAAAATATTTTCTGCATTCAACCAGTAATGAACCAGGAATAAGACTACAAGAAACACCTGTAATTAATGTATTTACACAAAAACTCTAATTTTTTCTAAAGAGTCTATTGTATTAAAACCTCCCAAAGCTACACTGGCTCTGTTCCAACTTGCAATATTTACTGATATATGAGCAAGCCTTTCACACTACAACATATAACACCAAAATTAGCTACCAAAATTGATGCTAAACTTTATTGATACATTTCAACTTTTTTTAAAACCTGTAATGGACTGAGTAAATGATTGTTTCATGCTATCATTATTTCCTTACTTATATAGCAGTAAGTAATGCTTACTCAAAAGGTTCAAGGATGAAAATATTTGAAACCCCACCCAGACACACTGAACTATACTTAGAGATGCACAATCCTACAGAAACAAAAATAATTGTGCAAACACCAAACTTAAGTGGAAGCAGTTACTGGTCCAACCAAATGAGATTCAAAATGTAATGAAATATCACACTTGATACTTACAGTTGTCCTACACTCTTCATTTTGTATTCTTAATACATTATTCATTAAATTATTTCAGAAGATTTGTGACTTCTTTAGTGAAACCGTGGTTTTTCCATCTGGCACAAACTTTGGCTTGATGTGTTTTTCTACAGCAGCAACATCCACATGCCACATTCTGATCACCTTATTACTCAGCATCACTCATTAGCACAGCCCTGTAAACTCAGACTCATATACACTCTGAGACTGTTACTTTGGACTGCTGTTGGAAGATGTTTACACTGTGTTTTGTTAGTATCACATACAGAATGTTTCACAGGGCTGTCCATTTCATTACAGAAAAATAATTTAAAAAGCTTTTTGTCATATATTTTGTTCCAAAGACCTCTGTACACCCTATGACTCCAATACCCCAGTTATGCAAAGGAACATGCTCTGCATTCCCACTACACATACCCTGTGGAGTTTATTTTAACAAAGCTTTCTAATCCAGAAGAGACTATTGCATCCAATCTGTCCATAGAGTCCCAAAAACTAAAGCACGCCTCATTAAAGAGGCACTGGACTAGTTCAGCTTGCTGCCTTCATCCTCTCTCTCCTTGTTATCTCTTACCATACATTAAAAAACATAAGAATGAATGTCTGGGGAGAAAAGGGCAGAAAATTATTATGCAAATGACTAACATCAACCAGACTGCCTGACACCTGGAGCCTCCATGCACAAGAAAAACCAACCAGATTGCATTTGTGATTCCTATGGTAACCACTGGTCCAGAAAGGAGCAGCTATGCATGACTTACTGGGGTAAGGGCTAGAACAAACAAAACAAATCAGTCAGACACTGGTGGCCATAACAAGGCAGTGCGACCCAGCCCAAGGTGAAAGTGGCAGCCAAGTCTCAGTGGTGCTCCTCCTGCAACACAACTGTCCCATTGCTTCCCTTGATGCACAAGAAGAAGCAGTCCCAGCAGAGGATTCCCCAGAACAGCTTCTGGGACACAATCTCAGACACTTTCACCTTCCTCCAAATTTGGACAGCACAAAATCTTCCATAATGAAGCTCCTGTATTCTTTCAGAAACCAGTTCCCTGTCCCTCACTAAAAAACTAACAAAAAATTCCCACCACATGCTTTACACATTGTTCAAACACTAACAAAACCTGTAACTAACCAGTATCATTATACAGTCCTTAACACTTACTAATCTTTCCAATGGTCCTCCTAGTATTTTCACCAAAAAAATGAAAACACCTGTAACTCTGCATTAGGGTGTCATTGATTCAAAGTGACTACTTCACTGGTGCAAAGTAGCACACACAGAAATTCAAGTTTACCTGAGACTGCTTCCCAATTCCAGAAAATCATAACATCACTTTCCACTGTACAAATTTTGCTAGCCTTTACCCTTATCAGTTAACATCCTGTACCATGTGTGTTTAGCCCAGAGCTTAATATAATTTTTAATAACTCAACCAGGAAACTGGGAAGCAATTGTCTTCACAAGCTGAAGAACCAACTGTACCTTTTTCACTAGTAGCTCTAATAAACCTACTGTCTCACCAGAAAGCGGCTTTGCTGCTCTAAAACAAAGCAGAAAAAGTAACTACATTTCATAATCATTACTCTTGCAAAACAGAGACATTTGTCAGACTACTTTGTGTGATTTTCATTTTTTTCCTGGGACCAGCTCATACAGGTGCTCCATGACTTTACAAGCAACCCTCAGGGTAAAGCTAAAATTGTATGTCCTAAGAAGCAGTTTTCCCCTTTGGCTCCAGAGAGGCAAAGCCAGTCACTGTCTTACAGACTTGTACAGTCCTTACAGAGGAACAGGCTCTGTTTAAAACAACATTTTGCAGAAATGAACCTGGATGGGTTGTTTTAACACATTACTTGCAAGAGCTGGTGTCAAAAGGTTTTCATTTTTTTGTCTAACAAAATGGTTTTCAGCTTATTTTTCAATATTTGGTTATGCCCTCCCACTATTCTGGTAAGCACTGTTTCTTCTCTTGTTTTCAATAATTCTTGAAATCCTGAAAAACTGAAACAGTTTGTACATTAACAAAAGTAATATATCTTAATAGCACATAATCTGAATAAGCTAAGCTTACTGAATAAAGAATACCCTGGAATAATGAAGCATTGTAATTTTAAGACTTCCCTAACTTTTCATTTCACCAGCAACCAGTTTGACAACTTAAAAACTCAGAAATACCACAACTTAGAAAAATTCAAGTGTCTTGACCTGCAGCTGTTAAACAACTGTAGTAGCTCATCAAATGCACAAGTATTTGTAAACAGCAGGGGATGCAGCAGGGGAGAAGCAAATCTGCAACTTTTGAGAGAAAAACATTTTTATGGGCATCAGTGTTTATCAAAGCAAGATTTTAGCAGAAATTTAATTAAGTATGAATTATAATACGACAAATATTATATAAAAGTCTGAAAGAGAAGGTCAATGAAAACCACAGGAGTTAAGTGTCTTGAAACAATTTATGTTTGCTGTCTATCTGAAGAAAGATTAATTCAGTTAATCAAAACCACATCAAAGCATCACAGCTGCTGACAGACAAAATACTGCTTTATTCCAATGGGAAAGTTTGGTACTTCAGAAATAGAGAATGACCAGATTAGTAACAGGAAGAGAGGATAAAACAGGCTAAAAATAACATACTAAGATCCAACCATCCTATTATATTTTCCATGATACATACTACATATTCCAGTGTTAAGTAGTTATTTGAGAATAAACCAAGTAAATCAAGTTACATACAGAAAACATGGAACTGAACGAAATTAACATCAAAGTATGCATTTTTATTTTTAAGTGTTATGAACTTCAGTAAAAGAAAAAGAACAGTAAAAGTTCAACAGTGCTAAGTGTAACATTTTATCCCTGCTGTTTTGTCCACATTTGAGAACAAATTTGGAAAGAAACAATCTCTCCTTACAATCTCAATATCTCCTGAGAGCTACTATAATTATACTACAACAGAACCAAGAACATTAACTGTCATTTAGACTCTCATACAAAACCTTAAGCTGGATCTTGGAATTACACTTACATACTGCCATCCAATACATATGGCCACTCAATTTTCACTAAAGGAAGAAAAGAAAATCTAAGAAGGACACATAAGAACAACTTATTAGCATGATATTTCAATACATAATAGAACAAAGGCTCTCTTTTATCTCATCATTCAAGCACAATTCAACGGTAATAAAAATCCACGCAGACTGAACATATTGCTCCCTAAAAAAAAAATCTCCGTGTGCAAATTTTCCCCTTTTAGATGAGGTTGACAAAGGTTTGATGTGTCATCTGATGCTGTTGCCACTGTAGCAACAGTAATAATTCACAGGCAAGTAGGATGCAGCTACAATGCAGGTGAGACCAGAGTTCATCTGAGCAATTTTAGATTTCAAAAACTGAAGGAATAATACAAATACTTAAAAGAATCACCATTTACATTTTATGACTTTTAAGAGGTTATACCAAGCATACATTATGACAACCAGCCTGGCTGACTTAAGACAAGAAGTTAGCTTTTAAATTGCAACCAAGCAGCTCGAAATAAAAAAAAAATGCCTTGTTTCATTGTAACAGTTTTAGCAGGTTTGAAAAAGGCACTAATAAATACACAAAATGAAGTCAATCTTACCTTTAGCCACAGCTTCTTTATACTTTTCTTTGGCAGAATTTACTTCTTTTATTAGTTGCCTGTAACTAGATTTAAGTTTCTCTAGTTCTGTCTTTGTGACCTTTAAGAAAAGAGAAATATCAAAAGCATTAAAAAGACTTATTCTCAACACATTAAAAAACATAGCATTAGTAAAACAGAATTAACAGAATTTATTATTGAAAATAAGGATGTTACATTTTCCACTGGCTTGAGAAAATCTTAATAGGATGGTGCAAATTACATGATGTGAAATCAAAATCAATAAATGCAAGGAGTTAAGTAAGAGGCCTAAGACACAAACCCCCATTCACATCAATGTAATTAAAAATATATTTAGAAAATCCAGCTAATCATCAACAATATTCCATTCCAATTTCAAGGCAAAAAGACCAAACAAAAAGATGCTTAACAAATCATACTGGATTAAAATGTCCTACGCATAAGAAGGAGTTTCTTTTGCACCTAAAATAAAGCAAAATTTTTAGATATTACACTTCATACAAACGACTAAGGAACAGCAACTTGGCATGAAATAAACTATCAATGGTAAAACTTAAATCCTTAAAAAGGAAAACCAAACCAATAACCAAAAAACCCAAACAAAAACCCAGCTACAGAAGCAACCCCCAAATAAGAAACCTCTACCACGAACCTGAGCACTGAACATAACATTTTTGGTCACAAAATTAAGTTTTCTCTTCTACCCCCAGCATTCATTCAGTGTGTGACAAAACTAGTGCACTGTTCAGAAACAATCCCAAATCATGAACTTGCAAACGAAACGCAGTTACAAACCAGACATCACAATACCAAAAAACCTACCATGCATTGTAAGAAAAAAAATTTCCAAAAAACAAAAATTTAATTGGAAAATCACGGAAGAGAAATTATTAATTACTTTTAATGGAAATGCTCCTCTCAGTGAATGTAGAGAAAAAGAAGTTCATTCTACTGAAAAATTGTTCCTCTTGCAGCTGGCAGGAAGAAGGCTGAAGTTCACAATTTCCCCTTTTTTTCAGGAGGCAAGGCCCAGATAACACTACTTTCACCAACATCTGAAAACTTAATTAAATTCCTTAAAAACCCAACAAAGTGCTGTCTACAGCTTCTATTTTTGGGCCAACTGTGTAATATTTAATTTGAATAAATTAAACCTTTTCTCCACATCAATTACATATACTCATATTTCTAACCTCTGTAAATTATACACATCTGCTGTTATTATACACCAATAGAGGCAATATAGGAGAAACAACTTTATGACAATTTATATTTAAAGACATCATCACAAATGGAGAAAAATATGCAATTAAGAAGTAGTGAATTAAGACCTAAATAATAAGAACAGCTTCTCTTACAGAAAACTGAAAAATAAAAACAGGGCACTAGCATGACGAAACCTTTATAATAACTACATTATGATTCTTAGATTGTGTTTTTCCAACAGATAAAACCAACACCAAGAGCATGTCTGTTCCCAAAGAATGCTTAAGGAATTGAGACGGTCAAGGATTACTTTAAACTCCATTTTTATTTCAAAAGGTCTCACCCACCTAATCATAACAGCACTCTACTATTTTCCCCTTAAATTTCAAGAAAATTATTCAATATCTTAATGGAAACTGGAATAAATCTACAAGATACAAATCCATTACATTTGTGCAAAAGCCATGTTATTTACTGTTCTTAAAAATCTTCCCTGTAAGATTCCTCATTACAGATGTGTCTAGAATAAGAAAGGATGACACATATGCATTTCAGCTAAACACATTTTTATGCCATCTTATCCTAAAATAGGAGCTGCACAGACATTGATGTTCACAAACTTTGCATACTGTCCTGAAACATAATTAGGCATCTTACGTCTGTGCATAACAAAATCAGAAATAATACCACAGAACATGAGAAGTATTTTGAATTTCAGGGAATCATTCTCAAAGTGCTACAGGTACACAAAACCTTGAACAATGTCAGCTAACTATAGGAGAACCATATTCAAATACTTCTTTGCAAATTCAGGAAGGGGAAAAAAGGCAAACAACCCCAAAAAACCTCTAACCAAACAACAATGCAAGCTTAATCAGCAGGATGCAAAATACTTTTGCAGCTATGCAGCCCATAATAAATAAAGTTAATATGGTTTGGAATAATCATTTGGCAAGTGCTCAGTATGCATTATATTTTTTTGGAAAAGTCTTATTTTAAAAGACATTTTTATTAGAGGTTCTGTTAGAGTTTGGCCTATTAACAGAAAACAAAACATTGCATAGTCTCTTTTCAAAGTATACCTGAGCTTACAGCAGTCTTACTCCGTTCAGCCTCTCTTTCTTATCTTTTTCTCTTTCTGCAATTCTTCTGTTATTTCTAACACATGCTACCAGCTTTTCCTCTTCTTCCACTCCGACTTTTTTGAGGTGCACCAATTCATAAGTAGCAGCAAGTGATTATTTGGCTTGAAGTTTTATTAGATAATGACAGCCTACTGACCATGAATCAAAAAAGACATCCCCATAGTCCCTACTTGAGGAAGATGCCAAGATTCCAGCATATTATAGAGCAATCTTATTAGAGCCAATATGTTTAACTTAAAATAGCCTTAGTTTAAATTACAGAATAGCTCCAAGTACTTCTCAGAACCGGCCCAAGAATCTTTTACTCATCAATTCATGACAGTGTTACTGCTTTACTCAGATGTTACATTTAATTGCACTAGTTCAAATACCAAATTCTCTGCTGGAATAAAGAAGAAACAGCACTTCTCCTCCTCTCAGCAGACCTTTCAGACTATTGCTCTGCTATTTGACACCTGTAGCTAAATTTCCCCCAGAGCATCTGAAACTGTGATTTCTGTCAGCTTTACTGACAAGATACAGCACTTTGAACACAAGCAGGATATCAGATATGTCATGGAAAACTCTCTGAAGAGTTTCACCTGCAGCCTCAATCTTCGGTTTCGGTTTACACCTGCTTTATATTTTAGACTAGAGACTAACACTCTGTCCTCTCCCAAAAGAGTCCAGACTGCCAAGAGCACTCATTAAGGACAGTTTCCAGTGCCCTGGACCCATGAATGTCTAGAGAGGAATTAGAACAGGAAAAGAGATGGAATAGAGAAGTATCACACAAGAATTCATTATCCTCTACTAGAATAACATTTCCAGTTCTATCTGTCCACGGAAATTCATATGGAAGAAACTTTTTAATCTTTGCCTTATCAGCTAGCAGGAAAGAAAATCGGCGTAGAAAATTATTAAAATTTAACTAAGCATTCGACATACCACCCACTACGCTTTCACCACAGCATGAACAAAACCCAAAAAAGCCACTCTTAATTTAATATTTTTAAACATAGAGAATTATAATCAATTTATCAAGCACAGATTAATAAAATACCTTGTACATCTCCGCTTCAATTTGTTGATGAACACCTACGAAACTCTTCTTAACTTGCTGCTTATCTTTGATCATCATTGTAAGCCTATGCAAGGGCCCAGAATTAAGATCCTCTGCATGTGTCTTCATTATTTTGCTCAGCTGTTCTGTTTGCTGTACTACGAGCAACCAAGACTATAAAAAAGAACAAAAAAGCACTTATTTATTTCAGCTCAATAATAACCAAACAATTAATAAGAGCTGTGGGAAAAGATGCATCACTGTTTAAAAAAGTTCAGTAAAATAACTAATTCTAAGCTCACCCAAATGCATTTGAGATCCTCCTGGAACAGCAAAATCATGCCTCAATCTCACTCAAAAAACCATTAAAAAACGTCAGAGACAAAAATACAATATTAAATATTCACCCTTCAGCATTGTCCTAGTATTTCGGTACACCAAAGAAAGCACTGCAGCCTTTTTTTAAAATACACCCCCAACACCCCTGAGAACTATGTTCCTACACCCTCTGTCCTCCTGTTTTGCCCCAGAGTTGCTCTGCCTAAGCTGACTTCCACCTTTCTCTGAATACCTGATAGCAATACTTGAAGGGTGGTGGTTTAAGAGGACACCATTACATCAGCTGCCTCACACAGTCAAGCCACCAGTACCAAAGCACAGACACAACACCCATCTGTCACTGGAACCCAGCATCCTTCTGTACCCTGGCTTTAATAGCTTCCTTGGACATTCTGTCAGTTTTCAGGACAGCTTAATGTGCTGTGTGTGGCTTTGAATATGGATGAACATCTACAGATATCAGAGACACAAATGTGAAATTAAACTTCAGTTCAAATAAAATCTTGGCTACCCTCAAGACTGCTGTCACACATTGGATTCCTTAAAGATAACTCCCTGACAATGAATGCTGTGCTATAGCTAAGATTTCAGAGTGGCTACATGCCACAGAATTGCAAGGTTTTAAAGGCAGCTAGCATATGAGTTCTATTGGTATTTATTGTGGTTCTTACTAAAACAGAAATTAATCCGAGATAAAAACCTTAGAAAATAATTTGTTTCTTAGCTTTGAGGTTTCTTTATATAGAGTATGCAAACATATATACCTAATATTTCCATTTCTACATGACAATGTTGCAACAGAAACTCGATTATAAAGAACAAAACAAAAGACAATTGACTGCCCCATATATTGGACTATCTTTAATATTTCTTCCAGCTTGTAAATATCCCACAGATTGGCACAGAGATATCTGGACTGCTTAAAGTGTCATGTTATAAAATGTCAAGGCCTAAAGCTTTCCTACTGTGGCTGGAGACCATTTCAGAAGCCATACTGCAAAGCTGCATAGGATAAGGGCACTGAACATTTGTGTGAGAAGAGTGGGCCTTTGTGGTTACAGAAGAGTTCATAAAAGTGCTCTCAGAGGTGAAAATGTAGTCAGAATCTATTTTCCATAAGGCTGATTTATTACCGATGAAACAACTACTGTTTGAATCCTGAAAAATCACACCAAAAACATTTTTCAACAGTACAGGTATTTCAAAGAAATGCTTAGTTTACAAGTCATGAAATGAGCTTAAATAAGCCAGAAACATAGCAATTACTTCCCTTTCTACTAAAAAAAAAAACGCCTATTTCCCTGTTCTTCACATCACTCTTTCCATCAGGAAAAGGGAAAAGCGATGTTTCCATATGGAAATAGCAGTAAAGCAGGATTTCTGTGCTTTGTATTATTATATTTTATTATTTTAAATCAGGACAAGGTCTGGAAGCTCTTAAAAAAACAGAGCACAGATTTTCCCAAACTCCATGTCTCTCTAAGTGCTCACTCTTACTGCACACTTAGAGATCAAATCAAGCCAAAACAAACAACCACAACAACAAAACCAACCAAACAAAACCCATTAAAAATTAAACATCTTGCTATTGGGTTTTAATGCCACAAAATGCCAAATAATACCACAATAACAAAAACAGGTGTTTTGTATCTTAGAAGATGTAAGAAACTAGACTCATTTTCTATAATATTTGCATCATTCTTTGGTTCTTTAAAATGTCAGGCAGAGAGAAAAAAAGTATCACAAAATATTAAAATAAATTAGAATGAGATCAGTAAATAACCAATAATTCAGGCTTTTTAACGGCCAAAACCAGTAACATAATGTGTCACTACATATCTACAAAACCCAAGGTGTCAGTGAAATTATAAGGTAAGCCCATATAAAAGATCTGCCAGTCCAAATGAATATTTTTGCTGTTAAAATGTAGAAAACAGAGGAAACATAGAAATCAGAGATGCAACTTCGTGAAAAATTACACCGCCTTAAGAGAAAAAAAAAAGGGAATGAAAATGATGCTGAAGGACAACTTGAGCGCCTCTGTCCAAAATAAGATTTCAAAATGTGACATGCACACCTCTTTTCGAGCCAAGAAGAACATGGTTAAGTCAGATCTCCAGATTTGTTCAATTTATCTGCTCTCAAGAAGTGCTCATGTTATTAACATGAACTGTCCTGAACTGAGATACTTATGTGAAGGTTAATGGTTGTTTAAACCTTATAACGCTAAATACTCTGTGCCAATGAAAAAAAAAAGGGCAGTATTTCAATTTGCAAGGCTAGAATTATTGTGAGGGAGGGAAGCAACAACAGAACATGTTATATATAAACACTACACAGTGCTGAAGCAGCCCATCTACAGTAGCAAAGCCTTCAAGTCTCCCACAGCCAATCTAACACTGTATACATCCATCCTGCCGCACACGGAGCAGTCCTGTACCTAATGCTACACCACAGCCACTGTCCAAGCAGCCATCCCATAAGCCCACAACATAAAAACTGCTCTGTCTGAAATTTAACCTGACCCAGAAAGGGTGTTTTCCTGCAGAGAGAAAATGAGGATTCATGCCAGACTGAATGCACTGTGTAACCACTACTGAACAAGGGCCAAGAACTGAATAAGCCATCAGAACAGAATAGTCTTCTCTTGTTAGTAGAGAATCCTGATCCAGAGTAAAACTTTCAAACAGGTGATAAGGGAAGTTTGCTTCATTATTACATTTATTTGGACTTGCTCTAAATCTAAAAACCAGTAATTTGGAGAAGAGAAAGCCTTACCTTTTTAAAAAGTCAACACAGTTATTTTAAACAGAATACAAAATAACCTCACAATTACAAGAAACATCCTGAATTAATGTTTTGTTCTTACAGCACATGCTGCAGTGTGAGTAACAGCTGGAATGCTAGGCTTTGACTTGGTTTCCTGGCATTTTTCTATTTCTGTCACAAATTCTATATAACATAAACAATAGTTCCTATCTTAAAAGAAAAGATTACTATAGCATACTTGATTTTCAAAGCACTAAACAAAGAAGCAGGCTCAACCCATTTATGTAAAATACTGATTTTCAAAAATCAGGATTGATTCTCATTCACTTAATTTTTTCAAAAGAAGATTAAAGCACAACTTCTGTACATTTCACTGAGAAACTAAAATAATCCATTTTAAATACTTTGGCAACATTAACTCTCAAGACTGAATGGATAGGAATCCAACTCAAACTAAAAAAAAAACAAAAGTAAACCCAAAACCCAAGGAAATTCCAAATTCAAACTTCAGACTTACCTTGGACACATTGCTGATATAATCCAATTGACAAGCGCTCTCTTTGTCAACTTGGTTACAAAGATTCTGTAAAGTGGACGCATATTCTTTATCACTTTTTACTCTCATAACCATAAATTTCTTCACTGTTTCCAGCAGTCGTAGTTCCCAGTCTTGCAGTTTTAATAAAGCATCATGAGAATACTTCAGGTCACCTCCAAACCCCATTTTTTAAGGCACTATATACCAGACAGGGGAAAATACAGGCTCTTCACCACATCTGAAAGGAGAACAAGACTGATAAGACAATTATCAAAAGAAAAAACTTCTGGTGAGACAAAGACTAGTGCCTAAACCCTGTAATTACCTAATCATAAGGTTAACCACATACATTAACCTCCTCAGTATAAACTAAAAGGAGGCTCAGAGCACTGTTTTGAACAACAAACTCTGACTGGAAAAGATTTCAGCCTTAGAATTTCAGTTTCCATTTCTGCAAAAACATTCCTCCCTAACTTAAAGTACAGTATGAAAGAAAACATAACGAAGACAAGCACTTAAGACCAATCTACATATTTAACCAAATAAGCACAGCTAACAGTATCTCCAGACAAGCTGCCAGCTGCACTTTTCTACTCCTGGTGACCTGAAACATTTGTTTCTCATGTTTACTCTCCTAACAGCACAGAAAAATCCAGATAAAACACCAATTCTCAGGCACTGCATCTGTGGGAAGTTGATAACTATTGAGAAGCTAGTTTGCTCCTAAACCCTGTCTTAACAGGCCATTAAACCTGCAGATTCAATCTCCCAAAAACCAGAAAATATCCCTAAGTAGGTTTCCCATCCAACCATATACTGGTTCCCTGGGTCAGAGTTCTTTAGTTCACACCATTTTACCCTAGGACACTCCAGTCTTACTGTACCAAATTGACATAAAGTAAGATTGATAAACAGATAAAATATCCTGCCTTATGAAATTCTGTAGCAAAACCAAGGGTAAAGACACATTGCTAGAGCTAGCTCTGAAATACGTTCATCTGATGCTGATAAACACACAGCTACATTGTGGAAGAACTGAAACCACACAAAGAAGTAATTCCTACACACTCTTGCACACGGTTTTGTAATGTGGGCTGAACCCTCTTTTCTGTGTACACACCAACCACCTGTTCCTATACTAATCAGCTTCAACTAGGTAAGATAAACTTACATAAACTGCAACCCTTATCTCTAGACTGTAGTGCAGCCTCAGCCTGTACACTGCCTATTCAGTAATCTCTGCACTATAGCAAAGTCTTGGCTCTTTTTAACACAGAAATACCAATTTCTTCACAGGCTTTACAGATTAAAACTTAAATTAGCAATGTTCCACAAACATTAACAAATTTATCTTCCTAGCAATCCATTGAGGGAAGTAGGACTAATATTCTTATCTTACACTAAGAAATGAGAGACATAAACTAACGTCAACACTGTGGCAGCTCATACCAGTATGTACAAGGCTTAAAGACAGACTTTTCAGAGTGCCTAGCATTTTTAGCATGCTAGGTATTCAGAAAAAAAATATGTTACTGGCTTCAGTTACTGCACGAAATTTCTGATTTTGCAAATCAGAACATCAAGCAACCCCTGAAATAAGCCTCATGTACTATGTGTTTATTCTTAGAATATAAACCATGCTACAAAACAAACCAAAGATCCAATAAAGAAAATTAGAACAAGTGCCACATTACTACATATCTACACAATACAGATAAGTCAAAGCTTAAACCTGTAAGCTTTCCAAAGCACCTTAATTTGAAGCTGTATATTTTAGTCAGAATACTTCTTGATGGCTAGGAATTCAATCATACACAGTAACAGTAAATAGTTTATGTTGGCTGCATTTATGAACTATGTCATTATTAGTAGCATTAGGAAAATACCTACACAGTTAAAACTGAGGAACACTTGCAGAACCACAAACATTTTAGTAACATGAACAAAAGGAAAAAAATCTTAAAATGCCTGTTTATTAACATGACTAAAGTTGCAGTACTGAATTTTCAATGCCCTTTAGATCTAAATCTATTTTTATGTCTTTTCACCTTTCTCCTACCTCATTTTAGTACATTACCTAACTCTCCTAGCCAACAGCTGTGAGAAAAGATAGTATCCTTGTTTTCTTACATCAGATTTAGGAAAGATAGGAACTGAATCTCACAGTGAAGATCAGCCTTGCATTAATGAGCAAAGTAATAGCTTGCTTGCTTTTTCCCTAGCCTCTGTTTTCTACTGAGAGACAGTATGGCAAGGGAAGGAGGAAATATTCTCAGCATGTGATATTTTAGTCTGCTTCTATTGACTTACAAAGGAGATACAGGATTACAAAAATCAATAGAACAAAAGACCAAACAATATCTCACTCCAGCCTGCTAAGTTGCTCTTAGCAGCAATCAGATTTTTTCCAATTCCACTATGAGATGTCTGGATACATAGGCAAAAATTGTAAACACACTGGACTCCAGTCTTTATTTTAAATTATTCCTTTATCTGGGAAAGAAGCAGCACAGCATAAAACTGTTTTGCAAAAGTGGTAAAATTTTGATTTGCTAAAACTAACAAGCAAAAAGTCTGAGAACTGATGATTCCCAAGTGGGTAGCCAGCTGCCATGTGACTTCCATGTAAATTGAGAAAATGTTCAACCAAGACATCCAGCCAAATTCAAGTGCTTTATTGTGGAGGCACAGAAATGGTGAAGAAGTATTCAAGACCTAAGCCCCTTGACTAAGCTTAAATTTTGATAATCTAAAAACCAATTCTGTCACTTAAAACCACTTGGTTTTTTTAATGTTTTTTAATATTTTTTTAAAAACTGAAAACAGTACAGATCACACAGCCATTAATTTGAAGTCAGAACTGTATGACTTACAAAACACATGAACACACAAGTCTGATTTTCAAATACTCTTAAAAAACACAAGCATATTTTGAAAGGCCAGTGTTCAAAAAAACAGTATCTGGCACCAACACAGACAGGTATTTTTTCAAGTTTGCTATCTCCCTCATTAGTGACCACAGATGAGATGACAGCTGCCCTATAGGGTCAGACCAATACAACAGAATATTTCAGTCAGGAGGGACCTACAGTGATCACCCACCCACAGTAATGCATTTAGATCAGCCCTGTGTCTCCAACCATGGCACCAGAAGACGTTTAAGAACAGCAGACTAGCTGGGCTGCCACTCATGTGATTCTCCTTGTGCTTCCCCACCTTCACATCTACTGGATTATGGAGTACTAATATTCCCATATTTTTTGGCTTTATCATACAATATTAAAATACTCACACTGAAAGATGGAGATCCCCAGACAGATTTTGCAATCACACAACACTAGCAAGTTGAGAAATCAGCCAAAACAGCAAAATCTGAACCCAGAAAAAATTTAATGTGGAACTGGTATAAGATATGAAGAGTTTGAGACACAAGCATGCCTTCTTCTTTAATGTTCAAAAGATGAAAATAAGTGTGAGAGCTATTCTAGGGGGGAAAAAATTCTCAAAAAAACATGGGAGAGTACTTTATCTTAATTGAAAAACCAGAGATACAGAGATGGCAGAATGTTTTAAAACAAGCTAGACAGAGAAGTGATAACAACAAACATGATATGCTAAATTCATACAGAAATAAAAACCTTCAGGAATTGCTTTACTCTTACTGTGAAGAGATTTCTTCTGCTTCTGGTAGATACCCATGACGTTTATCTCTTTTTCCACATGTGAACAAAGCTTGCATAATTTGACATGCCAGTGAAGTTTCAAACAGAATTGTACCATGTCTTGTAAAAGCAATAAAATACCAGTACCACCAAATAAGACAAATGAGCTTCAGCTATTTTTTTATATATTGAAATATAAGAACATATATAATATCTTACAAGATATATAACAGAATATCCTATATTATCTATTATGGACATAGATACAGATGGCTAAAAAAATTACTGTATATGCAGTACCTGCAAATTAGCCAAAAAATATTTGTTAAATTTAGGAGTAAAACATGTCTCAGTCAATTCTAAGGAAGTAGGACCTACTTTCTTCATAGTGTTATACTCAAAACAGCAAACTAAACATTCACAGGAAGTGCACACTAAATGTACATTTAATAATATAGTGTGAATGAGCAACCAGATCTCAAACTGTTTTAAATTTAAGCAGAGTTACCAAAGACAATTTAAAATTTCTCTCAACCACCAACACAGTGGTGCAGTCAGATTCCAAACAAATCAATGTTAATTTTTTTTCAGCCTGAAAGTGAGAAATTTCAAGGAAGTTGCTAGTCACATTATCCTTCAATATTGTAACACTCCCGTCAGGAAAAAAGCCAGTATTCCAATTAGTCATGCTGCTGGATTCCAGCAGCAACTCTGAAGAATGTAGTTTCCATAACCAATGTACATTTAATTTAAAGATTGCAATCTGTCTGTGATACATGATGCGGCCATACTGTTTCAGACCAAAGGTCCTGTGTCTGACACTGCCTGAAATCAAATGAGCAAGGAAGAACAGAGCATGCACAATGCAACACTTTCACAAGGTGCTCTCCTACGCTTGTAATAACTGGTGTCTTCTGCTACATATTGCCATCAATTATATCCAAGGTTATGAGTTTACAAACTTAAAATAATGATGGATCTACACATCAGTTGGAACTTGTGGTTTCACCGTACCAGTGACAAGGTAGGCAACTAAAAAACCACAAACCCAGAAAGCACACCTAGCGCCCAGTTAAATTCAGAATACGAAAGCACATCACAGATCTGGATTCTCTTCATATGCTGACCCTGAATTTAGATTGTTCCTAAATCTGCATGGGCTCCAAATCATAGAGAATACAGAACATCTTTTATTCTGTAAACACTTTCTACAAATATTAAAAATATCTCAGAATCAGAAATGAAAGAGGATTTGGATTCAGGAGACAAATCCTTAAAATCAAGGCTTTTATACTAAACTAAAAGCATTTTTACAATAGATTATCAATTTGTTAGACAGTCCTTCTCAATTTCTCAATGTGAGGCTTACAGTAGTTATATTCCATTAAAATAATGAAATAAATTGCTCTTACCACTCCATCCACACCTTAAACAAAAAATAGACATCAAACAATTGACATTTCTGTTAGTGTAGGATTTATTCCTGGAATGCACAAGACCATGAAATACAAAACACATGCACTA